TATAATACAAATATAAATGTATATGTGTATAGTATTTATATATGTATAGAAAGAAATTATGAATTATTAATACTGTAAGTATTAAGTTGTCCCTAACGTTTTATTTATATATATACGTGTATAAATACTACGTATAAAATAATGAATGTAAAACGATGTGCAGGAACTGAAAGAAGATGAAAATTTAGTTGTTTCCAGAAGTTCGTATTAATAGAGCTATAAATAAAAGCCAGCGTCCCTTAGAACTTATTCGCGTGGATAAGGGTTAAACATCAAGCGATCTTAAAGGTCTCGCTCTTAACAGTTCCCAAGAACCGCCATGGCGCTGAACGCGTAAAGCAACTCCATTTAAAAGTCGCATCAACATCAAGTGCTTATTAGCAACCACTTTGGCACCACGAATTGCTATTCATAATTAACAGCGACAACCATTCCGTAATACTGCGCAAAGGACTGAGGGTATTAACATTATCTTTACCGATCCTTTGTGTGTGTATATACATATCTACTTTTAACAAATTAATTTCATAATCGTTGCAGGAAAAAGGGAAAAATTGACTGAGCAAAAGTGATTAAATCTAAGAAACAATTTTAATCCTCAACCGGACTGACAATTGATGCCTGTTGTTGTTTCAATAATTTAATCAACACAAGTACCTTGAAACATTCCAAACTTAATGAGTTAATAAAGGATTCCACGAATTAAATAATTTTTAAATAATTACATTAACGTATATTAATGTTGACTTGTTTAAAATTGCACGGGGCCGCCTTGGCCAATATAATCCGGTAAAGGGCGAAATTAACATTTTGACGGCGTCGTTTGACAGCTTTGGTAAAAATTTATAATTATACTAGACTATTTATGATTATTAAACTGCGGATTTTATGCAGATATGACAAAATTGGGTAGTGACAATTTAAACTAGCGTAAAAATTAAAAGTATTTTGAAAAGTCAGCGTATTATTTTTAATTTATTAAGATAATTAAAGGAAGAATTAAATTGCCACTTGATTTCTCTTGCTTGCAATTTTTATTTTATATCATAATCGTTTATTGTAATCGTCTATTAATCGTCAATTGTATCATTATATTTTATATAATATATCCATTTTTCAACATATTTATTAGGGTACCCTTTCTAAACACATTACTTCTTCTATAAATTTTAATGAATAAATATTTATATCACTAATCGTTTATTTTAATTGCCTATTAATCGATAATTATATCATTATATTTTATATAATATATCCATTTTTCAATATATCTTTTAGGATACCCTTTCTAAACACATTACTTTCTCTATAAATCTTAATGAATAAATTTTTATATCACTAATCGTTTATTTCAATCGCCTATTAATCGATAATTATATCATTATATTTTATATAATATATCCATTTTTCAACATATCTTTTAGGATACCCTTTCTAAACACATTACTTTCTCTATAAATCTTAATGAATAAATTGTTATATCACTAATCGTTTATTTTAATCGCCTATTAATCGATAATTATATCATTATATTTTATATAATATATCCATTTTTCAACATATCTTTTAGGATACCCTTTCTAAACACATTACTTTCTCTATAAATCTTAATGAATAAATTGTTATATCACTAATCGTTTATTTTAATCGCCTATTAATCGATAATTATATCATTATATTTTATATAATATATCCATTTTTTCAACATTATCATCTAAATGAAATATGTGAAAATTGAAATTAATTGCCAGAAATTAAATAGCCGAGTAACAGCATTTATACCCTTAGCAGAAATGGACCCGAAGCCCGCCATCGGAGTGAGAAACTCGAAAAGGCCACGAAGAACGTAGCCGACAGGTTCCGGTTTATCGAAAACCGAGTGATAACGTACACTCTGTATACTCAAAGGACTAGAAACAGACACAGTAAAGAGTGTAAGAAGGTAAATCAACCCAATAGCAGCAAGTTTCCTTGAACTCGCCGCGTTTGAGAGTCCCGGCTCCGGCGCAAGCGATAAGATCAATCCTAATCACATTAAATAGCCCATTCGAAAAGTCACGAACTCCGCACTGCAGTCGTTCCGGTGGAATTCTTCGAATCTGATACCGGAAGCCGGGCAACTCTCGGGAGCGTGCGGCCCAACCAGAGCGCTCGCGCATTTTTTCACACTCCTGAGAGACCTGCACTCTTCGAGGTAGCTGTTCAAAGTGCTGGAAACCGGTGGCCCGGTTCCTCAGCGTCGCAATGCGTAACCGGAAACAGAATTCCGACCCGGACCATGCTACCCGTAACTTCCGAGACCGTTATTTGAAAATAATTAAGGATCGCGAAGGCCCGGAAGGGTTGGAATTAATTCGAAATAGCCGGATGAACGTCGAGAGATAAATACATTAGCGTAGCCCGCAAAAGTTCCCAGACTGACAAAGGAAACCCTGTGACTGATATAAGCCGATATTCATGAAACTTCCCGCAAGTGTTTAATGGACGTACCCACACACAAGAATTTAACCGCAATTCGATCGCGAAACGATCCAAAACTAATTCAAGTAAACGTTATTTCTGGGCCCACAAATCTTCTGTTTTTATTATACTTATACTAAATAATGTAAAATAATATAAATAATATAAATAATATAAAATAATATAAAATATATGTTATTATTATATATTATATAATATATTATTATATTATTATGTAATATAATTATTTAATTATTATATTATATTATTTATTATTAATATATATTAATATTATTATTATATTATTATATAATTATTAATTATTATATTATATATAATATTATATAATAATAACCATGACACAGCAATTGACTTCATATTTAAGTTTTCTTCCTAATTAATTAATTTCAACTTGCATTTATGATAATTTTTTAAATACAAACACAGAGATATTAAGTGAACCTATATTCATCTGGCACAAAATTTCCAAATTTTTCTAATATTGATATAATAATTGTATTATTGTAATAGAAATATATTATTCAATTGATTTGGGTTGCTAGTTATGCGAGAACATGGATATACTTGGAGATACCCAAGAAGTTAGCCCCAATCCATTCGCAAAACGATCCAAAAATAGTTCGAGCAAATGTTATGACACATTTTTGGACCCACAAATCTTCTGTTTTTATTATACTTGTAGAAAATTGCAGTTAATTAGCGAGTAGAATTTTAGTAACACCTGAACGAACGTTTGACACGCAATAAATTCTTAATTTTAATAAAATTTAATAATAATGAATTTTTATTAGACTGAAAGAGTAGGTTAAAATGACGGCATTATCTTGTATTTTTACGTGAGTCAATTTTCACAATAAGATAGCCCTATAAATCTGTGCGAAATTTGTTTTAAAAAACCGTGTTTTTCTCATTTACGTAAAAAAGTGATTTTTTTCTTCAAAAACGATTTCGCACAGATTTATGAGCTGAAAAACATGATATAACTTTTATATAATATGCAAATCATTATGCTATATATTTTATCAGTTTAACAAACATATTAATCACAAAACTGAGCGATAGGATTTAATTACGTTTAATTACATTTAATTACGTTTACATTTCCGAATGTTTTTTTACGAAAATTACTAATGATTGTCGCACACTCGGTTACTGTCATTTCGTTCTAATAATTTGTTTAGAACTTACACAGTAAACTAATGGAGAACTCAAGTGATTTTATTCTATTAATATAACATATCAAATGTTACGTTAAAATTACTTTCTTTATAATCCTGTGTCACATTATTGTGATTATTGTCAAAATAAACAAAAACGAGGACATTCTGGACCACCTTAATAATTGACACTCCTACCCTGTGTCCCTATAAAAATAATTTCTTTTTTCAAATAAAATTGTACGAACCAAAAGAATTTAATTCTAATTCATCTGTGAATGTCTAAAATGATGCTTTGCAAGTACGTATAAAAGTAAAACCTTGGTTAAACAAATGTTAAATGATTAAAATTCACGTAGTTTTCAGGCGTGCTATCTTCTCGCCGCCGGGTGTAGATCCAACGAACGCTTGCTGCGCAAAGTTTCGTCAAGATCGGCGTGTGTCAGCCACCCCGTAAGAAGCAGACGTTCCAGCGCGAGTGGAAAAAGGTAGGAGGAACGAGGGAAAATCTCCCAGGACCCGCCGGGGTTGCTAGACCTGCTGCACTGTGACAGTGACGTATACCAACCGTGCCACGCCGGCTGCAACCTAAATTGTTTCGAAGTAAATAGCGCGCGGGAGTCTCGCGGCTAGCAAATTGCATCCACTGCACTTTACGGCGATATCCTCGCGCCCTCCGACCGCTCAGACGACCGCGACCGCTCTATGATCCGTTCAATAAAAAGAACGTCCGCCGCCGCGACGCAAATGCTCCCGGTTTCTCAGCGGGAAGAAAAGAATTTCGCGAACGTTGCTTCCCGGAAAAAATGATGCTCCGAAACAATTCGCGCTGCTGCGCACGGACAACGCGCGAAGTTCCGCGGCGACGAACGAACGCGGAAAGCATTGGCCCAGAGCATCGCCGAAACGGGCACGTTATAATTTCTATTAACTGCACGAAACGCGAAAGGAATGCGTTAAATTCGTCGGAAAATACAAGTTGTAATTTATATGAACTGCGCGACAGAGCGGGGTGCACGCTGCCTGGACACCGAATGCCGGCGTGCGAAAGTTTTCGAGGCTCCCGTCGAAAATTATCGCGTCCAGTTGATTTCTGTAACATGCGCGCTTGGTTAATTTTATAGCAAATTTTCAGTTTATACGGTTTGATTCCTGTGCGAAATGAACGCTGAACGAGCAACTCGTCGGTCAAATGACCGGTTTGCAATCGTCTATTTTAGAATTATTGAAATTATGAACACGCTTTTATGAGAATTTCTTTATTCGAGCGTACATTGCAATAGAAACGGCGAAACCGAAAGCAATATAAATTGAATTATTTCTAGGGCTCGGTAGGTTTGGCGTCAAAAAACAGTAGCTAAATTATCTGCTTTTGTATCTTCGAAATTTCTCCCCTGTTTTATATTTTACTCACTCGTTTCTTTTCAAACAAGCGAAAAATCCGCAGACTATTCATAATAACAATTTTTTATAATAACTCACAGCTTAAGCAGTTTAAGCAATTTTTACGTTAAATTCATGTTTGCTAAAAAAAAAGTTGCAAGATGGAGGTTTTTCAATCGGTGATATCCGTGTCTGGTTTTATCCGGCCTGGAATCGTGAATAGAATAAATTAAATTGCAAATCTATGACGTGTTTTTTCTTTGTTGCATTTCATATAGTATGCAATACCATAAATGCGTCCCGCTGGTAGTGATACTCCCGGTATATTTATTACAGACACGAGTATTGACACAATAAAGTCTGCTATACAAAACAGGGGCCCCATACGGTGCAGCAATAAAATTCATGGGAGTTGCTGGTTCAGTCGTATCCACAATGTAGATTTATCCGCAATGCTACATGTCACTCGCCACAAAGAGGTTTCTTCTTTCTGCAGACGTCCACTCGGATATTTTCATGTCGACCATTTCTCACCTGTTGATATGACCAATGGACAGGTGTTTATTAGAATTAACAGTTTGGAGAAATTGAGGGGAAATTAAATATTGTTCGTTACATTCGTCGCTTCGGTAAATAAATACAGTAGAACTTCGACTATCTGAATTCAAAATTGATAGTTAATTTCCTTTTTACTTTCGATCAATTATAATTCGAGGTTTAATCGAGGATCTTTTATAATTGCATCGTTATTGTTTGAAATAATCAAACATCTAAATAATAAAGATCGAGGAAAATCAAGTTCGGTTAACCGAGGGTTTACTGTGATAGATATACAGTCGCTTAACGAGCCAGTTTTAATTTTATATGAAATGCATGTGCTTTTTTTGTTGGTGTTCGTTGATATACAGCATGGAAGTCACTCTCTGGGCAGGAAAGTTTGTGTGTACACGAAAAAAAATGTATATACATTCATTTATAAATGTGCAGACACTTCTTGTAAACGGCTTTTAGAGTTAATTTTATTCACAGATCCATTATGTTATCCTGCAATAGTACTTTTGAGTAAAGCGAACACTATCTATGCTCAAATAATCATTTACGAAAAGATTCTGTACAGAAAGTATTCAATTTAATTATCAAATAATTCAAGAAAAAGAAGAAACATCGCTGCCTTCAAATTATTAACGAATTTTGGCTTGATTTGATTACAAAATATCCTTGAACATGCAATAACACAAATGCGTCTCAAAATTTTCTATTTCTTGTACTATCACAGTTTAAATTGACGAAAAAAAGAATACTATTTGTAAAATTTGATACTAACAATTATAGTAATAATGATAATTTTATTACAATTCATGAATACGAGTAATGAAACGTAATGAAAAAAAAAGAAATTTTGCATAGTCGTCACACGATCACAATAAAAATAAAAATAGTAAAATATATATATAATTTCCCTAATCTTTTATTAATCTTTCTTTTATATTCTTATTTTAACAATGACATGACTACACTACACTATTTCCTAGTTTTCCTCTTACTTTCAGTATGGTATCATTATAATATCACTCAAATTTTATCGCAACGTAAAGTAGCATAAAATAATAGCAGCACGAGCCCACGATCCATATAAACCTGTCAGATGTTTCCCAAAAAGTACGCCTGAAACGAAAAGCTTCCGTTTCGTTATCGCACAAGATTATTACCTGGTACCACACCTTCTGTACGCTGTTAGCAATCTCTGAAACGCTTCTGTTCCTCAAAAAGAACCGGATACTGTGCCGGGAAAATGTCCGTCCTCGAACCGCGGCCTGAATGAGTCCCAGCGCAGAATGGGTCCTAATAGAGAATAGACGCGCTCGATAAATAGCGGAGCTGCTCGTTCCACCGGCGAAGATGCGAATTCTCGTCGCTTATCCTTCCACGTATCATTCCCATCGTTCACCGTTTCTCGCGCGGGCTTTAAGGCCCGGAGCAACAGCACGCTCCGCGTCCCGCCAGTAAATGAATAGCACGGTCTTTATTGCGCTGAACGTTGACGCCTATGATTTACGCGTAATACGTCGGTACCATTTACATCCCTCGCCGGTAGAGTAATTTGTACAGAAAGCTGCAGCGATACAGCAATGCGGCGATAGTGCAGCTGCGGGGATGCTCGCCGCGCGTTAACGTTGAATCAAATATGTATCCGGGACGGCGGTGAAACTGGAAGAGAAGGCTGCGGGGGATGCGTATTAGCAAAGGAAGGATAGACACGGCTGATTAAACCTTAAACGTGCCAAAATGCTGCTAATCGAGGATGGTCGATGTTGATACAACAGCCGTACATTAGACGGTTGTTTTAATTATGCGCTATCAGGACCGGTTCTCCGCTGTTTCCCCCGTGGGGATCGTTACCGGATCATCGTTGCGCCATAATTCCGCCAATTGTTCCTCGCAGGCTACCGGGCTGTCAATATTTCAAAATCCGAATCGGGGATCCCGTGTCCCGGAGATTAATGCTAGATCTATGAAAACGCGATCGATTTACGCTGCTTTATAATGAGACTACGCGTTTCTGTGAAAAATGATGATATCGGACACGAAATACAATAGTGAAAACATCAGAAGGGTGTAAATAAAAATAGAAATCAATACGGTTTCTATTTTTGTAAAAAAAAAATGTTGTAAAATTGTTTTCATTAATTTCAAGAAACGAGAGTTGAACAGCATTGTTTTCCTGAATAATTCAGATCAAATTAATACAATTTGTTTTCCTGAATAATTCAGATCAAATTAATACAATTTGATCTGAATTATTCAGGGAAACGATGCTGTTCAACTCTCGTTTCTTGAAATTAATGAAAGCAATTTTTCATTTCGCGCGAGGATCCACGGTCTATTTATGACGGTGACAAAATTCCATTAATTTTTAGATTTTGTGCGACGTTTATTATAGGACATGCATATCAATAACTTAGTTTACTCGACAATTTTTGTGAATACGTAACTTTGAATTGGATTTCAATTTAATTTCTGTAATTGAGAAAGAAATTTGATCCCTTCCGGTATTTCCAGTGTTAAATAGAAGTGTTGACCATTGATTGAGTGATTAATGGATGAATCTTCTTCTTGTTCATTAGCATATCGAGCAAATTTGAACAAAACTTGATATCAAGCAACATTTTCTTTCATGCACAAACTCTATCTTGTTGTATGTTGCTGTATGTTGTTACGTGTTATCACATCTTGCTGCATACTATTCTATGTTGCTCTATGCTGCATCTTGCTGTATCATGCTGCATTATACTATATCTTGTTGTACAATTCTGTATGTTGCTCCACGTTGTTGTATGATGTTGCATCTTACTGTATGTTGCTCTATATTGTATATTATGTTTTGCAATATGAGCCGTTTATTTTGAAAGTGGCATAAGTCACTTTGTTTTTAAGTCGATATATTTAAGGGTTTGCGTTTTAACACGTTTAAAAATATGGATGCTAACTTTCGAGGAGATTTACTTGTATTTGTTATCTCAGGATACTGCTATTTTTCTCAGTATAAATAATTTCGTATAAACATTAAAAAATCACCACTTTTCATTACGGTAAAGTGACTTATGCCACTTTCAAAATAAACGACTCATATAT